GGTGGAAAGCTGAAGAGTGAGGGGGAAATAAAGGTAGGTTGATGATTGGCTGGGAAGGAGATAGGTTGCCAACTCCAGGTGGGAAATTCCTGGAGATGTGAGGGATGGAGCCTGGAGAGGGTGAGGTTTCAGGAGGCGTGGGACCTCAGACAGGTACAAAGCCATAGACTCCACCCTCCAAACCAACTATTCCCTTCTGTGGAACCCTTGTTGCCAATCTCCAGGTGAGGGCTGGTGATCACTCAAAATTACAACTCTTCTTTAGGTAGCAGAGATCAGTTCCTCTGGAGAAAATGGTGGACTCAGTGTCATTATGCCCTGCTGAGGTCGCCATAGCAAATTGACACTGAGTGTCCAAGGCTGAGTGTCCACCCGCTCAGAGCCTCTTTCTAGAGGCTGTTGTATTTATTTCCACAACGGGCCTTTTTCCTAGTTAGTAATATTAGTTACTCACACACACACAATTTTAAGTCTTTAGAAAGGTGCATTTCTTTTATCCACAATAATTCTGTGTTGTGGTCTGAACACCCAGGTGAGATAAACTTTGGATCTTTTTCCTCACAGAGGAGAGATGATTAGCTATCCAGCAAACACAAAACTGAAGGGGGGGGGCTTTGTATTTACTACCCCCCCACACACATAGGCACTTCCACACACACTAAATAATTTACTTTCAATCCACTTTCAATGCACTTTGCAACTGGATTTTACTATGTGAAATGGCAAAATCCACTTGCAAATAGTCGCTGAAGTGGACTGAAACTGCATTATTTAGCATGTGTAAGAGCACCAACAATATTTGAAAATATGGCCATACGGCTATGAACATGAATATTGCAAAACTGCTGTTTGGATTAATTCAAAGTTTGAATACTTACCAAGAAGTAGTGGTAGAATTTAGATAGAGTATTCAAGCAACTGGTTGGTATTTTCTCTCTGATTTTTTTAGGGGGGTACTGTTATGTATTGAGGAATAAAGTGCCCAACCTGACAGTATCACTTGTTAACTCTGCATTGTTTAGCACTTGCACAGCCTCATTTCGTAGCTTCTCCCCCCACCCAGAGATCAGTGGGCTTCATCTAGGAGGAATCATGCCCCAAAGTCTGTTATATAAAAATGTGCTTTTCTTCTGTAAATTCTCTCTTAGTATTCCAGCAAGCTCTGCCTCCCCTTCCAAAATTCTTTGATTTCACCAAGTGATAAAGACACACATTTTCAGGCCAGTTTCTGCAACAACAAAGGGGCTTGTCGTCTGCTTTAATGGGGTGCGGGTGTTAAATTCCACTCTTTTCCTTGATTGGGGCAGAACCCCTACCACCCTGTGTACATTCCTGTTTGTTCAACTTCAAGATACTCCAGAGCCCCATGGCCAGACAAAAGAAGAGTAGGCTCAACGGCAGGGCTGAATTTGCTGCTGCACCACTTCTGGCTTTAACACACTGGTCGTATTTTGCAAAATCGACTTCCTGGATGGCACAGATGTGGTCGGTCTGGCAGCTGCTGTCGCATTCTGTGAGGTCATACTGAACGGAGTTATACCGATAGTACTGCTGAAGGTGACTGTTGTCCTTTGTGAGTTTCTCTAGTAACAGATGCATGGACTGGACTGAGCCATCAGGGACTTGGAATGCTTCCGTCAGGCTGTACTCTTTCTCCCATTTGGGGGCCCCCAAGTTAGCATGGGTGAGGTTTAGATAATAAGTCACCATGTCCTGAAACAGAACAAAAAAGCCAGTGTGATTCAGTGCTTGGGCTACAATGAGCCCCTAACATGGTGCCCAGCCTACCAACACCTTTTCTGGTGCTCATCAAGTAGGCAGGGCCTGGTGGGGTGTTTGCCCAGCCAGGCTTCAGATTGGCTGTGTAGATTTTTTAAAAAATCATTGCTTTTGGCAGCAGCTGCCACAAGAATCGTCACTGTATGACTGAAGGTAAGCGGTGGCAGCCATTTTGTGGCTGGCTACACCTGCAGCAGCTGTTTTGTGGCTGTGCCCACCACACTGTGTCAGAATTCCAAAGGTGTTCATGGGCTCAGAAAGGCTGGGGACCCCTGGTTGGGCTAAAACATGGGAGACCAGCCTTCAAATCTTTACTCTGCCACAAAAATCTATTGGCTGACCTTAGGCCAGTCATGCACACTCTGCCGTAACAGGATGAGGAGGATAAAATTGGGGATGGAAGAATCATGTATGCCACCCCGAGCTCCTTGAAAGAAAGGACAGGTGCAGATAAATGTCTGGTATTTGTTGGAAATATGTGTGTTGCAAGGTCTAAAATTCAGTCATTATAGGGTTAATGTGTGTTTACCTTGTGTGCTATTGTTTAGGCTGACCTGGAAGGGAACCTGGCTCAGAGCCAATGGAGAGAAAGCCCGGGAAACTGAAGCCTATTTACTGACAATCATTGGTTAATGCATTCAGGTGATTTCCTTCTAGGGTCAAGAAGAAGAATATCCATTGTTGTAGACCATGTGGTTAAAGTGTAAAGATGTAGTCTTAGGTGTCTTTGTTGTTTTGTAGATTGCCTGTGAACCCTTCCCTTAGAAATAAAGACTTTTACATAGAAGGAAATGCCTCCTATCCAGTGAAGCAAAGATCCATTGCAATCTCTGAATATTTAACTATTTTGCCAATTTTATAACAGCATTAACTGGCGCCAGAATGACCTTTACCAGAGACTTCTAGTTAGTAATATAGATAGTAAATAGTTCTATAATTTTAAACCTGAGATTTCTGGGAGATGTAGTTTAGGTACCTTTGTAGGTCATGTGTTCTACGTTAGCTCACATTATTGGCTCAAGTTTAGAAGCGCAAAATAGGGTTCATTGCCCTCTTCCATGCCTTTTGTTAGAAATCTCCAGCAGCCACGAGACTTACAGAAAATCATCTCTTTTCACTGCTAAGTGAAATGGACCCTAACACTGAAGATGGATGTTCTCAAACATTCCCAGCTAGATCGTAAGTCTGTGAACCTTTAATGCATGAGGAGTTCAGTAAAGTGTTTTGAGCCTTAAAGTGGACTTGTGAGTTGAACACTTACTGGGGAATAAGGCTGCGCCATCCGGCAAGCCTTTGATCCAGGATACCATCCATAGAGTGATGGCATAAAGATGCTGTCCTGGGGTAGTGTGATGAATGAAAGCCAAAGCTGAGTTACACTCTTCTAAGCCCATTCAATCGACTTATAAGGGTGTGACTCTGCTTAGAAGAGCAAGATTAGAGTCCAGTAGCACCTTAAAGACCAACAAATTGTTCAGGGTGTAAGCTTCGAGAGTTAAAGCTTTCCTTCGTCAGATATCTGACAAAGGGATCTTTGAGTCTCGAAAGCTCACACCCTGGAAATCCTTTTTGGTCTTTAAGGTGCTTCTGGACTCAAATCTTGCTTCTCTATGGCAAACCAACACGGCTACCCACCTGAAACCATCATCTGCTTAGGATGGCACTGTCGGAATCTAATTCCATCTTAGTCATACAGTTCTGTAGGTGGCATTGTGTAAATCACCTTCTCTCGGTCCTACTCAAGCAGTGTAAATATACTGATAGTGACTTGGGCCTCACTCGACTGATGCCCATCCCAGCAAACAGACTTCCTTCTCCATAATCTATACAGAGCAGCCATCCTTAGTTCTCTTTGACATTTTAGATTTGGGAGGGGGAAGGGGGCTGCTACTTAGATCATGGATGCTAGTGGGGTTTGACATTTTAGATTTGGGAGGGGGAAGGATGCTAGTGGGAAGGATATCGAACTGTTTCCCCTGTGTGGTCTTCTCCCTCTAAAATGCCCTACCACTTCTGTTTGGGAGCACAAAAGCAGCATTGAGAGGTGTCGGAGAAGTGATTTCTACTGGGAAAGCAACATGAGGGTAAAGGCTTTAAGATCATCTTTCCCCCCTGCACACTGATTTTTGTAGAAGCAAAACAAAACCAAGCCAGGGACAACCTACACAAAACTAAGTATCCTATGTCTCTAGCCCTACTAACCATTAAAAGACAGAACTGTACCGTTGCTGCTGTTTGTGCAGCACCTGACACCTTGCTGGCCCTATACAGAGACAAGCTGCAGTCAGTCCCACCAGGAGGCTGTCCCAAATAGCCCCTTTCCTGGCCTTTTGTGTGTTGGACCCGTATTAAGTTACCTGGCCAGACAGCTCTCGTCTCAATGGGTCTTGTCAGGTCACTTTGGATACCAAAGTTTGATTTGCAGGAGACAAACCTGAAAGGTCAAAATCCACCTCCTACCTTCAGCAGCAGGGTCTCTCGGTCGTACATGAAGACTCGGATGCCGGGATTGTTGGCTCCGTTGTGCACCCCGGGCAAGGTTGTCTTCCATGGTGTGACGGCTGGAGCCAAAAACATGACGCTTATTGGAGAACCTGGAAGAAAATGCCAAATGAAATGCATAGGTGACCCTGTCTGTATGACAGCAAGTTACACATACACAATGAGCTATGTTAACTGAGTCAGACCACTGGTCTTCCGAGGTCAGTATTGTCTATGCTGAACAGCAGTGGCTCTCCAAAGTCTCAAGCAGAGGTCTTTTACATCACCTCTGGCCTGATCTTTTTAACTGAAGGTTCCGGGGATTGAACCTGGGACCTGATGCATGCCAAGCAAGATGCTCTACCCTTGAGCCATGAGCCAAGAACACCAAGAAAAATATACCTCCATCACTGTAAAAGATTCTAAAGCTATCTGTGTGATGATGCCCAAAGAATTGTGCCACAATCACTGCATGATGCTTCTGAATGATTTCTGTATATTGTTGGTTGAAGCGCTCTCGGAACCAGGGCTTTCCTCGTTTCTTTTCAAAGAATCCGGGTGGGACGTGTCCAATCAGGTAGACCTGGAAAGGAGATGGGTTGAGACAATGAGAAGGGAAGCACACTGAGGTCGGGCTGCTACTCGGACACAGGCCTGGCTTTGAATTCCTGTTCAGTGACAGATCCACTGGGCAGCCACATCTTTAATTACCCAAATCTCAGTTCATCATCTATACAACGGGAACAACAGTGACCTGTCTCCTTTGTTTTGGGGGTGAGGCCTGAGGATCTAAACCATTTTGCCCAACACACCTGCTCTTGAAATCATCAGTTGCTGTTGAAATGCTTTGATGTTGCAGAGGAAACATGCTCGTCTTCTCTACCCAAAATGGCAAAATTTATCTTTCTCGGGTATTTTACTGAATGCATATTTCACAGTCCAATGGAGGCATCTGCTTTAATTCCATTCTTTTTCTACCTTGTGTCTGCTGTAAAGTGTGCCGTCGAGTTGCCATCAACTCATGGGCGACCCCATGAAGTTCCAGTTCTTGGGGGGGTTGGCTCTTTTTGTAGCAGGTACTCATTTGCATATTAAGTGACACACCCCTAATGTAGCCAATCCTCCAAGAGCTTACAGTAGCCCCTGTCAGAAGAGCTCTGTAAGCTCTTGGAGGATTGGCTACATTGGGGGGGGTGTCGCCTAATATGCAAAGGAGTTCCTGCTACAAAAAGAGCCCTGCATGAGATGAACAGAGGTAGGTCTGCCATTGCCTTCCTCTGCACAGCAGCCCCAGTCTATGAGGGCTGCTACATGTCTGCTGTGCGAAAGACTAATTGGGGAAATTAGCTCAGTTCCTGGTTGAGGCCTGTGCTCCTTTGGAATAATAATGCTGGGCATTATTCCATAACATTACTGTTGGTATAATAAGACTGCTGCAAGAAACCTTTTCTCCTGCTTTGGATGCGTTGGCAAGCGTCTCTTCCAGCCACTGAAACTGGCCTCCTGGATCCTCTGAGCTGATGGTCCGATTGTTATTCTCATAATACAGGTTTGTGTTGAGGACGACCATCCGCCTTGCTGGGCCAGGACCAGGCAGCTTTTCACTGTAGAAAGCACCTACAAAAGAGCATGATCTGGATCATGCATTTTCTAAAGACTGTACAGAGATGATGATCAAGAACAGGTCAATTTAAGCAACTGCAGCTATGGATGAATCGCAGAGTTGCAGGAGCAAGCCTTTCCGAGGCACACACACAAAACTTTATTGGCATGAAAGCACAAAACATCATGGAAATACGGGAAAATAGTAAGATGCATCAGTCGCTTACGCTTGGCTATTCAAGCCTCGTCTTCTGATTGCATAATATAATTTTTTTGCAACGGCCTCTATTATTTTGCAATTAGAATGAAACAGAAGAAAAAGAACAATTGAGTCATCAGAATGCCAGCTCTTACCCTCTAGAAGTGGAGTAATAAAACGAGATCGGACCCTTCTGAGGCAGTTTGGGGTTTGTACGGAACAGCGGACTGCCTTCTGGATGTTTAATCAAATGTCAGGCAACTAAAGTACAACTGCACCCCCATCTTTCACACTAAAACAGCAGCTCTCCTTTCTTCAAAAACTGGATCCTGTTTGCAAATCCCATTCGAGTCTACCCTAGCATGATACTTTCTCACCTAAGAACATAAGAAGAACCCTGCTGGATCAGACCAGTGGCCCATGTCATCCAATTTAAAGCAGCCAACCCGTTGTCCTGGAGGACCAACAACAGGGCTTAGAGGCTGAAGCCTTCCCCTGATGTTGGCTCCTGGTTCTGGGATTCAGAGGTTGACTGCCTCTGAACATGGAGGTTCCCCTCAGTAGTGGCCTCTAATAGTTAGTAGCTAGTGGCCTCTGATAGATAGGGTTTATCTAATCCCCTTTAAAAGGTGTTTATTCCCGTGGCCATCACTACATTCTCTGACAGTGAATTCCTGACTCACTCTGCTACCAACTGATCTTCTATGACAACAACCTTTACACTAAAGGTAAATGTAAAGGTTCCCTTGCCCGAAAGCTAGTCGAATCCGACTCTAGGGTTGCGGTGCTCATCTCCGTTTCAAAGCCGAAGAGCCAGCACTGTCCGAAGACGTTTCCATGGTCATGTGGCCGGCATGACTAAACACCAAGGTGCACGGAACGCTGTTACCTTCCCACCGAAGTGGTACCTATTTATCTACTTGCAATTTCTTGCTTTCGAACTGCTAGGTTGGCAGGAGGTGGAACTAGAGACGGGAGCTCACTCCGTCATGCGGCACCCGGGTCTCGAACTGCTGAACTACTGACCTTCCACAGCCTGCAGTTCAGCGTCTTAACCACTTGAGCCACCGCAGCTCCAACCTTTACACTAGAGAGATGGAATTTTTCTGTCTGGAAGTTTCCTGACCTGATTTCCCCCCAGGGAAGGGAAATGCCATATGGGGAGTTAGTGAAGTTCCAGCAAAACACTTGCCTGTTTGTTTCTGTGCCAACACATAATGAAGTTCTGCAAGCAGTTTACAATTAATATATACAAAAAGCAAACCAGCATGGCTTTTATTGCTTACTTTGCTTATTTTGTGCATGCTTTTATTAGGAAGAGAAACTCACTAACTATTGTTGTACGCATTTTATGAACCACTTTGTACTCTGCCACTGACTAACAGGTTTGACTTGGTAGGTGTGCTTAGCACTTCCATAATGCGTGTGATTCTGATATCATGAATGTATTCAGGTATTAACTTTGGTTCATTTGTGACTGTTGTTTGAATGCATGCTGGGAAGAAGGCTGAAATGCTGATACACAATTATGCTACCCATGACCTTGCTTGTTCTGGCCAGCTACAACTGCTCATGTTTCTAATGTGAGTTAACCTAGCTAGAATGAAGAACAGTAAGCACTCTGTAACCATATCGGTTATATAGATACAACATTGCTGCTTCATAGCTTCCAAAAGAAAAGTGTATTGTTCTGTTAGGAAAAGAAGAACTCTGCCTGGGAACAACCACCACCCCAGGTCTTAACCCAATGGGAAATAGGTGATGAAATTTGACAATGTTTGATGGAACCAATAATTCTGTTCTATTTCTCTGATGTAATGTGAAGTATAAAATGCTATTTCACCCATTGTTTTTTTTAATAAACTTTATTCAATATTTATCATGAACTTACAAAGTTTTATGTTACAAAGAATAACAATCATATTCCATCTGAACTATCAACAACCTACTTCGAAACTCCAAATATAAGAGGTAGGTGTCATATTATCATAATAACAAACTATGGTTGCGGTCACACGGAGCATTAGCCACGCTAGAGCGATGGAAGACAAGCAGAGCTTCCGGGCGCGATCTCACCAGCACATCTGGGAAGCGTAGCACTTCCGTGACGCAACCGAGGCTTCCCGCCGAAAACACGCAGCAAAAAACTAGTACCTCGGAGGTACTAGTTTCCGGAAACTGCGGGGCAAGGGCAGGCGTTTCCGGAGGCATCCGGCGCCCGCCCATGTCCCCTTGCAAAAAAGGTTTTTCCCCCCAAGTCTCCGTGGATGCGCACAAGCACCCAACGGAGCATGCGCAGTCATGGTGTACACGAAAAAAACATCCGGTTTGCCGCACCACGCGCTTCTTTTTTGCGCGTGGGATTGTCATGCGATCGGCACCTCTCCCTTCCCATGGAACCTCCACGGTATCTCCACGGTACCTCCACGGGAGGTCTGATCACTTTACCCGCACAGTAGTTTGCCCCGGGGCAAACTGCCATGCTTCCCCCCCGCAGTTTCCTGCCCATGTGACCGGGGCCTATATTAATTAACATAACTTAATAAGACATTTATAACAGTTGTTACTTCTATATAACTAATACGAAATAAACATATTTATGTCGGATTGATGTGTTATATTAATTCTCAAAAAATTAGTATGTCCTATAACTGCTTGAACGAAAGGTGACCATTTTTGGGCAAAATAAAATTTTCTGCTTTCCGAGTTAGAATGCTCCAGTTCAACTGTCAATTTATCAAAAACAAAATAATCCCATGACTTACTGCGCCATTCGTATAAACTAGGCAACTCCTTACTCATCCATTTGGACGCCAAAACAGTTTTTGCTGCCGTGAGCAAAGTGGCTATTAAATCTTGTTTGTATTTAGGTATTTGTATTTCATCCCATAAATTTAGTAATATGATATTAGGTGAATCGGGGATTAGAAATTTTGTTATTTTAAAGATTTCTTTAATTATTTGGTACCAAAATCGTTTTATCACTGGGCAAGACCACCATACATGAAAATAAGAACCTCTGCATCCACAGTCTTTCCAACAATTAGGCGAGATTGCGGCCGAGGAATGGGCAAGTTGGAAAGGGGGCTTATACCACCTGGCTACCAATTTGTATGTTTGCAATTGAATGTTTAAACAGGAATATGTATATGTTGGAGCGCTACAAATTTGGGCCCATTGGTCAGCATTTAGGTCTTGAGTTAAATCTTTGTGCCATGCTAATTGGTAATTTAAGCAGAGGTCATTTCGGGGGGGAACGCGGGGGATCGCAGTTCCCCCGGGTGAGGTACGGGGGGCGGGGCACATAACGAAGCCCCGCCCCCTGCTTCCGGCCGCCCCGCTTCCGGCCCTCATTCAGCCAGGAGGAGACAGGAGAAGAGGGAGGGTAAGTTGCTTCCTCCCTGCCTCTCCCCACCCCTGCCTGCCTGGAGCCAGGGAGGGCCTTTGCGGGGCTTCCTTGCACTCCTGCCGGCCTTGCAGGTCCACCGCCAGGCCCCTCATGGGGCTCGGCAGTGGAGCTGCAAGGCTGGTGGCGGCGGCCGGGACCGTTGGGGGCGGGGGGTGTGGCCTTATGACACACTTCCGGTGATATCAGGGGGTGTGGCTTTATGACACACTTCTGGTGATGTCAGGGGTGTGGCATATGCTAATGAGTTATGCTAATTAGTTCCCCTAGCTCTTTTTCTACGAAACGACCCCTGAATTTAAGAGTTTGGAATTTTTGAGTTTCAATAAAAGCAAATACAATATAGAAATTAGACCCTTTATCAGATTAGATTCATTATTTAATATTTTTTCAAATTTTGAGAGTTTTAAACGTAATTTAGAACAAAACTTGGAGTTTACCAATTGTCTAAGTTGAAAATATTCAAACCATGGAATGACTAAACCACATGGATCTTCTAACTGGGCTTTGGACTTTAAATGCCCTTGAGAGATAACATCTATAAATCTCGTTTTATTTAACTGTTTCCATGTTTTAAAAGAGTTGCAGTGTCGAGCTGGACTAAACCATTTCTGACTTGTAAAGATTGTTAAGATTGATAGTTGGGGGACAAGATATAAACTGTATTTATTCCATACCTTGAATGTAGCCTGAATGACTATTTCACCCATTGTAACACTTGAAGAATCTGTTGGGTATTCAAGGTTCCAAAATCTTTGAATCTGTATTCTTCCTTATTAATTCATAAATTATATTTTTTTGTTTCCAACTCTACAGGACTGCTTTCGTGTGTTTTCTCAAGTTGGCCTGGGCAAACACAATCAGGCACAGAGGTTCTGTCTTACACTATCACGAAGTTCAGTAATTTCTTTCCTTGTGTGTGCAAGTCAAGGCACATGTTCATGTTGTAGGGCGAAGCAGAGGCTAAAGAAGGCAAGGCAGGCTTTACGGGGCTGGTGCAGATCCTGACCCGCACATGATGATTACTAATGGAAAAAAAAGCTTTGTCTCACTCACTGCAAAGGGCCCTGTGAAACCCTCATGAAGTAATTTCCTTGTTAGAAGGAAAGCAGGAAGGGTGTGGGGGAGAAATACTGTCAACAGCTTTTGTCAGTCTACATTTCTCTATTGTAAAAACTGGATTAACTGTACGCAGCATGACTTATGAGTCAAAGTGCACGTTTTGCAGAAGAGCAGAAGGTAAAAAACAAGTAGGGCTGCCACTGGCGGGGGATGGAGGAGGGGCAGAGTTGCCAGATCCAGGTTGGGAAACTCCCGGAGATTTTGGGATGGAGCCTGGGGGGGACAGGGACCTCAGCAGGGTGCAATGCCATAGAGTGAGACCTCCAAAGCAGCCATTTTCTCCTTGGGAACTGATCTCTGTAGTCTGGAGATAAGCTGTAATTCTGAGAGATCCGCAGGTCCCACCGGGAGGTTGGCATCCCTCAAAACAAGCAACGCTCACCTATGCATCCTTCCACAAGGAGGTGAAGTTGCTTTTTCCCTACAGACCTTCCAACAAAAGCTCACACCTCCTTTCTTTTTTCCAGAGGTTTTAAGCTTGGAATTAGCTTAAATGAATGGCATGGTAGTTTATCTCCTGAGTCTTGCGAATGATCTGTTTTATGGAGTTTTAATTTGTTGTTTTCTTTTACAGTTTTTTTGCCATCAAGTCAAGCTGACTTCTGGCAACCCCTAGTGGGGCTTGAAGGCAAGGCAAGGGACATTCAGAGGTGCTTTGCCATCGCCTGCCTCTGCATCATGACCCTGGTATTCCTTGGAGGTCTCCCATCTGAGTCCTAACCAGGGCTGACCCTGCTTAGCTTCTGAGATCTGACAAGATCGGGCTTGCCTGGGCTATCCAGGTCAGGGTTTCTTTTACAGTTTTGATTTCTGCTGCATTTTACATTCTGATCTGTTAGTGGACTTGAGGGGCCATAAGGATGGAAAGGCACTAAATTAAAGGCTGTGGAAAAGAAAAATCTCTCCCCCCCTCTCTCTGCAGTAGAAAAGAGCAAGAGTCCAGTAACATCTTAAAGACTAAAGATACATCTGGTGGGACTTTTACATATGTGACGGCATGTAGGACCGGCGTAATAGATTACATAGCCATAGCACCTCCTTTAATGAATTCTGCTATTAAGTTTGAGGTTTTGGATCTTACTTTGAGCAACAACTGCCCCCTGCGATTGTCTCTTACCATTAATGCTAATGCATTAATGAAACCAATTCCAGACTTTGCAGAAGATGTCAATTCCAACCTAAGGAGACTCAAATGGTCTGAAAAATTGTTCAGTACCATATCTCACACTTTTAAAAGTCTGGAATTGGGTAGATTGAGAGCATCCTTTTGGCAACACAACCCCGATCCTATAAAATCTCTTACTGAGATTAACAGCCTACTTAAACCCATTCTTACGAACAACAGGCCCATAAAGCCGATACAGCATGCCCATAACGGATGGTACGAGTCGAGAGCTAAAAAAAGAGCTACTCCACACTATGAGATAGACCAGGCATAGCAGGGAAGGGACACAGCTATGCATTTACTTGAAACTCAGATCTCAATACAAAGCCTTAATCAAGCAAAAGAAATCAGAACATGCCAAATCTCTTTGGAAAGAGTTAGATCCAGCTGTAGTGGAGAAAAATGATTCCCGTTTTTGGGAACTAGTTTCAATCAAAAGCAGTAGCCCTCTTTGTCAGGTAGATGCATATATACCAGGACATGTCTGGCTTTCATATTTCAAGAATGTTTTTGGCTCCCAGCATCCCTCATCTAAGGGGTCGGAAAAAACCCAGCTGAAAGATTACTTAGATCTTATAGATTTACCAGAATGGGCACCAGTCTCTAAATCAGAAATTAGAGGTCTAATTGCCTCACTACCTTCAGGAAAATCTCCAGGGGAGGATATGATACCACCGGAATTATACAAAGCCTTCCCAGATTGGTGGGCTCCCATTCTGGCTAGAGTGTTTACACAGATTAATAGTTTAGGCATGATCCCCCCCGGGCTGGAAGCTAAATATAGTTGTACCCAGGGGTCATTTCATAGAAAAAGAGGTGCAGGAGCTCATTAGCATAACTCATTAGCATAACTCATCTGCATATGCCACGCCCCCTGCCATTACCGGAAGTGTGTCAGAAGGCAACACCCACCACTCAGGCTCCACTGGACTCTTGGATTGCTAGTTATTGCGGGGGGGGGGGCTGCCCAGATCTGCCTAGAGCTTGTACCTGAACAAACCTTGGCCTTAAAGGTGCTACTGGACTGTTTTGGATTGCTATCGGGGGGGGGGGGCTCTGCAACTTATCTGGCTGCTTCTTGCTCCTCATGGCCCAACTGAGGGCTGCTGGGAGCAGGGGGTGGGGCTTGTTGCATGTGACTGCCCCCTGGGCTCTTTACTGCCGGAGCTCCACTCCCGTGCACTCCTGCAGGAAATGACCCCTGGTTGTACCGATTCATAAAAAAGGAGACAAAGATAACCCACAAAACTATAGGCCGATAAGCCTTTTGGACATAGCAGCAAAACTGTACAGCAAATACCTGCTGCTAAAATTGGAAGACTGGGTGGCAGAGGAACAAATTATCCACCCCTCATAGGCAGGATTTCGAAAAGGCTGTGGAACCACAGACCACTGCCAAATCCTTTATCAATTAGCGTACGCTGGTATAAATGGCCCAACAAAGGCACTTTATGTTGCGTTTGTAGATTTGGCTGCTGCATTTGATTCCATCAACATATCCCGTTTAAGGTCAAAGCTAGCCAAATTGAACATTGACAAGCGGCTACTATTCCTAGAGCTTCATAGGGACACTTGCGCCCAAGTAAGGGTGGGAACCTCCGGTTCCCTAACTAGTAGTATCTCTATCAGTAAAGGAGTTAAGCAGGGATGCGTGTTGGCCCTCGGCCTATTCAATTTGTATATAAACAACATAACAGAGTTTCTGTCAGGCCCGCAATTTTTTCCACCCTCCCTGGGACAACAGAACATTTCAATTCTTTTATACGCAGATGATATGGTCCTAATCTCACTGACCAAAATAGGTTTGAGAAGACTTTTACAAAACTAGGGCAATACTGCAATAAAGAAGCTCTCAACGTTAATTATGCAAAGACCAAAGTAATGGTCTTCAGAAGAAAGCCCAAAATTTCTCGTTGGAGTATTCTTGGTAACCCAATTGATCAATGCAGTTCATTTAAATACCTAGGAGTAATTTTTAAAGAAATACTGAATTGGAAAACCCACATGGCAGGGGTTAAACTGTCAGCACTAAGGATCGTTGGGTCTATTGTACAATTCTTCTTCACAAAGGACGGGCGATTAATTGATCCAGTACTGAAATTGTTCAAGTGCAAAGTCGTGTCCCACTTATTATATGGAGTGGAAGTGTGGGGATGGAAAGAGGATAATATATCTACACTTGAGGTAATCCAAAATTATTTCCTAAGACAAATCTTAGGTCTCCCCAGGGGATCTCCTGTGGCCTTGATGCGAGTGGAAACAGGATTCCCTTCTATTAAGGCAAGGGTACACCTTGCAATTATAAAATACTGGAAGAAGACCAATTTGTCTAGATCTAACTCTTTAAGCCACCAATCTGTTAGATCATTATTAACAAAAGACCCTACACATTCTGATTCCTTTAGCGATATCCTTAGTAGATACACCATACCTGATGACCTCCTCGGGGCCTCAGGCGACAATTTCCAACTCAGGGAATGGATATTCAAATCAGATGCTGTGGTGCTATCATAAAGTCGAAAACAGCTCCGTGGTACAAATTTGTCAAATCTGATCATTCTAGATCATCCTATCTACATAATATTTCCAACTATAACCTCAGGGCCGTTTACTGCGTTGAATTTTCAAACAATGTACATAGCATTGCGGGAGGGTCAATTTCTTCAAGTTCCAACAGAACACAGTTCGCTTGCCATTGGAAACCTCCCTCACTGTATCTTAGCCTGCCCGTTATACAATGCTCCCAGAGACAAATTCTTGACAGGAATTTTATTTACTATAAAAGCATATCCTGAAAATGAGAAGATTGTATTCTTGTTATCAGATACCGATGAGTTCGTAACCTATAGTCTCTCCCTTTTTGCCCTTGCAGCCAAAAAGATTAGAGCCAGGGCGGCACCATAGGGGCCATTCTTATAACACATAGGCTATTTTAACCCATTCTCATTTTTGGTATGTGATTTTAGGTTTTACTTCTTTATGTATTTTATCATACCATTTTACTCTTTTACTGATCTATTTGAATGTTTTGTAATTTTGTTGTGGCCTATGGCTAATACAAGAAGTTATTTGAATTTGAATTTGGCTAACAAAATTTGTGGCACGATATGAGCTTTCGTGAGTCACTGCTCACTTCTTCAGATACAGTGACTCACAAAAGCTCATACCCTGCCACAAATTGTGGTACTCTTTAAGGTGTTACAGGAGTCTTGCTCTTTTCAGCTGCTACAGACAGTCTCTCTCTCTCTCTCTCTCTCTCTCTCTCTCTCTCTCTCTCTCTCTGCAATTTGTGATGCAAAGCCACTGCTTCTTAATGTAAGGCTGACTTTGGACAGATTCCAAGCCCAGTTTTTCCAAGAACTCACTAAATGCTATTTGTTTTCTCAACCACAGTGAGATGGGTTCACCTGATTCTGCGTGGATGACATCTCAGGGCCTTTGAGATTGCTTTAGAACTTCTCAAGCCCACAACTGCATGATTCCCCCCCCCGCCCCCGGCCACTCACCTTCTTTGAAGGTAAGCACGGAGGAGTTGCTCAGCCACGGGCGCCACAGTTCCACCACTCCGTTGTAGATTGTATTGTTCTCAGCCGGCAGCTGGTTTTTGGGGTGGAAGTCATGGTTGCCCATTGCAGGATAGATCTGAGTGTCTGGAATGGAGCAGAAGCCAAACTGAAGGGTGTGTGTGTGAGAACAGCTGAAAAACACTACCGTTGTTTGGATGGTAGCAGACATGGCAGAATACAGACAAGCAGAATAGGGACACATGAGCAAAGATTAGACAGGCTGTCCTGTTCCAAGGGAAGAATTTCGCCCCTATTATACATTGAATGGGGGTGGGGCAATGCCACTCATTCCCAAGAGGTCCCAGTTCTGCAATCCATACTGCAGAACAATCCACATTGCTGGTATCATCCCCTCTGGCAACTCCATGCTTCTAAGACTGTTCCACACACACGGGGTTTGATCCAGACTACATTTTCCAATGGCAGAGTGGAACTCTTAGTCTTCATCCCTTCCGCTACAACCCACTTCTGAGGATACCTGAAGAAGACATGCAGCCAAGAAGGGAGGAGGGAGTCTGCAGAGGGAAGGGGACATTGCTAGAAATTGCCAGTTTCGTTTGGATCCAACTCAAAAGAGATTCCAGGGCAGTTACGCTACAAGGAATAGAGAAGAGGCACAGCTTCTCCCCAGAAAAAGCAGAGGAATGGCTTTTGGAAATGCAGCTTGCCATTCTGATGAGCGACCAAATTTGTTTATTTTATTTATGACAGGCCTTTCTCCCCAATGGGGGACCCAGTACCACTTACGTCTTCCTCACCTCCTCCATGTCCAGAGCAGCCCTGTGAGGTAGGTGTGTGACTGGCTGACGGTTACCCAGCAAGCTTCCACCATTTCTTAAAATAATTGCTTTGCTGGAGTCTACCCTTTCTTTAAATCTTCAAGGAAATACACTCTACACCCTGTTTAGTTGGTGAAATTCTCTCAAGTGTTCATTAAAAAAAATAACTGTGCAATTTAAGTTTCTCTTCCTGCAGTTTTCCACTCATTGCATCCTTCTGGGTCTTTTTTGTGGAATTGCCTTGACAGCCCCCCAACAGTTTTGGCATCTCCTACCTGGAAATACCTGTTTGATCAGGTCAGTTAGTTGTTTAATTATGTCCAGCACAGCTTTTTCACTCAGTTTTTCATTAGGAACATGTGGGGTATCATCCCTGGGGGGGAAAAGAACACAGCTACTATCCAACACTACCTATACCACAAGAACACAGATGCTGTACAGAGGCCAATATGCCTTATGGAATTGCCCATGTAGAAAATTAGCAATGTGTTTCAATGTGGGCAGCAATATTTGATCAAATAACTGGCCACATCAAAAGATAAAGGGGGGAAATCATTCAGCTAAAAGGCTTCTACAAATTAATTAGGCAGCAGGCTTTTAACCATTTTTTAAAATACGGGAACTTACAAAAACTCCAGATGATAACTTAGAAGAGGCATTCCCCCTTTTCTCACACAAACAAGAGGGAATGCCTCATCTTAAGTTAATTGTCACCAAAGAGGATACCTGTGCCCTGACCCGGACGGCCCAGGCTAGCCTGATCTTGTCAGATCTTGGAAACTAATCAAGGTCAGCCCTAGATGGGAGACCTCCAAGGAAGTCCAGAGTCACACACAGAGGCAAGCTATGGCTCAGAATGTCTCTTGCCTTGGAAACCCTCTGGGGTCGCCATAAGTCAGCTATGACTTCAAGACACTTTCCACTACCATCATTTAACAGCAACAACAAATACACCATCTCCTAGAACCAGCAATTAAACTCATGCAATTAATCAGTATCATTTCTTTAACCAGGTGACAGCCCTAGTGTCATTCACTGATTTATAATGTGCTTAAAAGGTTTCCCTTGCTCAAAAGCCAGTCGAATCCGACTCTAGGGGGTGGTGCTCATCTCTGTTTCCAACCCAAAGAGCCAGAACTGTCCGAAGACATTTCCGTGGTCGTGTGGCCAGCATGACTAAATGCCGAGGCACACAGAACGCTGTTACCTTCCCACCAAAGCAGTATCTATTAATATACTTGCAATTTCTTGCTTTCAAACTGCTAGGTTGGCAGGAGCTGAGGTCAGAGATGGGAGTTCACTCTGTCATGCGGCACTAGGGTCTCGAACTGCCGAACTACAGACCTTCTGGTCTGCAGCTCAGCGGCTTAACCTCTGAGCCCCCCCCCCCCCCCCCCCCCCCCCTTTTGCTGTTCTTCTTTTTTTTTCCCCCCCCCCCCCCCGCCGCACACTTTTGTCATTATTTCAGGCTTAGATAAAGATGGACTGAACTGAGTATTCAAACAGTTTATCGTTTTCTACAAAGCACAATCTGCAAATTCTTTACCCGGTCCAGAGAATGAAATCTGGGTTGGGGAGGATGCTCTTCATGGCATAGATGGAAGAGTTGACAAGAATCAAGGGAGCATCACACAGGTAATCTCCCCAAGCCCCCGCACTGGCCACTGGCTGGGAGCCAGCAGATGGGCACACCCCCAGGGGGTCTGGCACCGCTTTGTACTGAGGGTCCAGATGGAGGTCTGTAACGTGCCAAAAGGAGCCTGCCAAAAGGAAGAAAGCCATGAAGTTACTCAACTCTTACTTTAGGAATATGCCACAATCACTGAGGTCTCCCAGCAAAGATTGAACTCCTGCAATGTACCATTCAAGAGAGACAACACTTAGGGAGCTCCTAAAACAGTGACGGCGAACCTTTTAGAGACCGTGCCCAAACTGCGACCCAAAACAAACTTATCTATCGCAAAGTGCCAATGCGGCAATTTAACCTGAATACTGAGGTTTTACTTTAGGAAAAAAAACAACTCCTACATTAACTTAAGATGATCCAAACAAAGTAAGGAAAGCAATCCCAAATGCTTTCATTTCCTTAAAATTATTTGGCAGAGAATTCGAAACTTTAATGATGGTCTGGGCCTGGCTGGGGCGATGGCATGCGTGCCCACAGAGAGGGCTCTGAGTGCCACCTCTGGCACCCGTGCCATAGGTTCACCACCACTGTCCTAAAACATACATAGGCTAGACATGAGCAGGACTCCACCATCTGATGAACCTTTTTTCTTTAAAACTTCTCTTCCCAGAAGGGAGGTCCTGCAACAGAGACCATAGTGCCACCTTGGTGGCTCTTGTGAGGGCAGAAAGGCAGGACACGGCGTTTGTAAAAGAAACAAAAACCAAATAAATACTGAATCTCTGCCTCCTACGTAGCTGCCAACGGGAGAGAGTTGCCATCAGGTTAATAGGGGACACGTGTGTGTGTTAAGTGTCATCCAGTAATTTCTGACCTATGGTGACCCTATGAATTAATTATCTCCCAAATGTGTGTCCTTGCATCTGTCAAACATCTTTATTATGCTGTATGCTAATTTACTGCTCGCCCTCTACCTATATGCATGGACTGGCAACTTCCATTTCAATGTATCTGAACAAGTGTGCATGCACGCGAAAGCTTATGCCTTGAATAAAACTTTGTTGGTCTTAAAGGTGTCACTGGACTTGAAATTTGTTCTCCCAAACGAATCATACAGTTGGAAGGGACCTCCAGGGTCATCTAGTCCAACCCCCTACACAATGCAGGAAATTCACAACTACCCCCCCCCCACACGTCCAGTCACCCCTTCTCCATGCCCAGAGGATCGCTAAAAACTGGCCTGGAGAAAATACGTCCTGACCCCAAAGTGGCGACTGGCATTTCCCTGGGTGTGTGTAAGAAAGGGCCACAAGAATGAAGCACTGATACAACCCTCCCTCTCATGTTAACAGATCTTGCAAACTGAGAGCCATGGCTCCCTTAATTGAGCCAGTCCATCTGATGTTGGGTCTCCCTCTTTGCCTGCTGACTTCAACTTTTCCTAGGGTTATCGTCTTTTCCAGTGACTCTTGTCTTCTCAGAACATGATGAAAGTACAATAGCCTCCGTTTGGTCATTTTAGCTTCTAGGCTTGACATGCTTATTGCCAAAACGGGTCAAAGTAGAAGCAGGAGGCATCTGCAGGCATCTCCCCTGGGCCTGCTAGCCCCCACCCTCAGGTTCTTAAACAGGAACAACTCTGGGGTTTTCTTTCATGAGTCCCAGGCCAGGATACCAAAGGCAAATCTCCCAACTTCACACTGAGCCTCACACGAGTGCCTGAGCCTCACCCAGCAGGATTTTCTAGGTATTCGGCATGGGAGGCATGAGCTGAGATGTGATCTGGTTATGCAGGATTCACACAAGTGACAGGGAGCAGCACATCTTTAATGTTTTTGTCCTGCCTGGTGTACACATACCAAAGTCCCCTGTTCTGGCTTAAACTGCACTATGCCCCTCGCCCTGGCCACCACCAGCTCTTGCTAGGTCTATGAAACTGAATTTCACAAACAACCAACATCACTCTCACTTTAAACTCGGCTTGCATTCTTCCAAGCAACAGAGAAAAGAGAACAATACCTGTGGCCGCAGTGGCAACTGTGCAGCGCACCAGGAGCAAGGAGATCCTCAAAAGATCCATCTCAATCCAAGAGTTTCGCTGCCAGCTACTGCCAGGTTGATGAGCCGCCTCTTAATTTTCCGTGTAACAACTGCAGGAGCTCTTAGCCAAGTGCACTTTAGCCTCTCCCAGACGTCTGAGTCATTGGCTAATGAAGCAACCCTACTTGGCTTCCAAACAGCGCCTCATAATGTCATCCTGCATGCTTGCGATTTTTGACAGGTGCAAGAGAGAACCCAGATTTCCACCACAGATGTATGCTAGGACAGGCTGTCAGTTATTCTCTTCAGTGCCAAGGGCGGGGCCTGTTTAGATCGACTCCTTGGGGGCATCACGCAGGGGAACAAAAGCTTTGCTGACACAGCACAGCAAAGTTGGAGGGCTTTCAGTTTCTACCGCACATTTACAAAGGCAGGAAACACTGGAAGGCCAGTCCTGTACCAAAGGCAAGGCAGAAAGGAAGGAATACAGCAGGGACAATGGTGTGGGGGGGTATAAAGTATTGAGACTGAAGCATGGAGGAGTGATTTCAGCTCATGCTTTATTATTATATAAAGGAGAACTTGAGATAGTGCAGCCGGGCCAGAGGCCAGCTTATATCCCTGTAGCAAACCACATCCAAACACACACCCACACCCGTGATAGGATATTTACAGTGTCATCGTCCCATAGGTCAATTCTCGGATCCTAGCCGCCCGAAAGGTGCGCCCTAGGATCTGTTCGGGCTATTGTCTCTGGAAGCGAAGCTTGGACCATTCGCATGGCCACGTGCGGACCCAACCGCGTGTGCGGTTTCTCTGGGTACACAGCGGGGGGAGGATGGAAACAGATATGACATTGCTGCATAATTTCCTTTATTTATAGATGTACGAATATAGAAGCAAAGAGGCACCCCCAACAGAGGAACAGATCCACTACCCCACATCAGATCTCTGAAGAGATCCTGAGAGACTTTCAGAGAATTCACAGCAGCAGCGGCTATTTCTCTGCATTCAGTTACATTGCCTGTTAGGGTTGCCAAGTGCGATCTTCGCGCCATAGAGTTTTCCCCCGGATGACCGTGGCCCCGCCCCCAGCGTGCCCGGCGGTGTCACGTCACTTCCGGGTGACATGCACATCGGGGTGGAGTTCTCCCCGGGGCCCGATCCACCAGCGGCGGGGAACGGGCCTCTGGGGCGGGGTTTTCCCCAACCCCCGGGGGGGACTTGGCAAGCCTATTGCCCGTGCACTGCATCCACCCTGACCAGACATGCGCCGGGAATCCTGACCTTGGAACTTAATTGCCAGGCAGGCAAAGGGCCAACTTGTATCAGGACTGCAATGTGTGGGGAGAGGGAGCATAAACTGTATGGCCTGTGTAACTCCATCTTTGTTACATGCTGGTGCTTCATTGCCCCGAGTCTTGTGAGAGAACCATGTTTAGCCACTCCCAAGGGAACTTTCCTCTCTCTCTCTCGTGCTTATTAGCAGGCCTTATCTTTGAAGGCCTGGGTTGTGTCTTCCACCCACTGGGATGCCAGGTGCAAGACAGCCTGGCTCATCTATTCCTTGACCGGTAGCCAGCTTTTAGAGTATAAGATGCCTACTTTTAGTTACGCACGGGGTCTCAGATACTGGCAAGCTTCACTGTGTGTGTACGCACGCACTCGAGGCCCAGCTAATGGAAGCTCAGCCTGCATTTACTGTTAAGTTTGATGCTTTATTAAAACTCTCCTTGTAAGCAAACCTGGATCTCACACATTATTTCCTTGGGATTTTTGCAAACCTTGGCCAGGGCCCCTTACATAAGGCCGCCCCCCCCCCGGTTAAAATTTTCTGACTTAAAAAGCCCCCAGGGAGTTGCTATTAGAGCTTTAACTGTATCAAGCAAAGGCCCCTCTAACATGGTACATTCTAGATGATTCAAAGGAAACATACAGAATCAAGGGCCCCTTCAAATCACATCAGGCACTCTGAAGCTTGGGACATCCTCAGCGGCTATATGTGCCCTAGCCATCTTAACTGTAGCTGATAATGCTATCTTCTGCTGTGGTGGCTCAAGTGGTTAAGACGCTGAACTGCAGGCTGTGGAAGGTCAGTAGTTCAGCAGTTCGAGACCCGAGTGTGCCGCATGACGGAGTGAGCTCCCGTCTCTAGTTCCAGCTCCTGCCAACCTAGCAGTTCGAAAGCAAGAAATTGCAAGTAGATAAATAGGTACCACTTCGGTGGGAAGGTAACAGCATTCCGTGCGCCTTGGTGTTTAGTCATGCTGGCCACATGACCACGGAAATGTCTTCGGCTTTGAAACTGAGATGAGCACCGCAACCCTAGAGTCAGATTCAACTGGCTTTCGAGCAAGGGAACCTTTACCTACCTTCCTCCTCCACACCAGCCATTACCACAGGCCTGTAGCCAGCAGGGGCGCTGGGGGCAGCACCCCGTATCAAATTTGCAGCGCCCCAGGCAGCTCGCCCCCCACTGGCCATGTGCGCCCACTCCTTATCTTTGGCTCGTTGCAACTGCTCAGGGCTCACTGTGCTGACCGGCGCCACCTCTTCCTTGCCCCACAGCTGCGGGCTCTTCATGCCCCGGGGCCCAAGGGAGAAAGGCAGATGGAGCACGAGGCCGACTGAGCAGGCTGGTGCAAGCACACCCAGGAGCCCCTGGAACAGGAAGCGCTTCCTCAATAAGCCAAGGCTTCAGTGGTGCTGAAGAAGGGGCTGAGGCACTTCGTGTTAAGTCGTGCGCTTAACAAAGAGTCGGAGAGTGATTCAGCAAGAATTGCGGTTTATTCTTCAGCTTAGTTACGATCGCCAGCCAGAACCATCATTCGAACCACTCGAGCCAAAGGACAAGCACTGGCTGCTCTGTATTTAAACATTCCCGGCTAGTGTAGCCACACCCCCTGTACAAATAACAACCTATGAGGTTGAAGATATAATGCCCAATCACAAGCGGTCCCGCTTTACAGCGTGATTGGTAGACACTCTCTGGGCTAGGACTCCTATTGGTTACATTAGGATCCTAGCCCAGGCTGAAGCTTAACATAGAGTTTCAATGAGACGATTCGCATGTCAGTATTTACATTCAAGTCAATACATAACAAATCCCTCCCCCCTAAGCAAAAACATTATGAACAATCGTAATCGCTTAAGTAGGTGGGCACTCTGCGCACTCTCTGAGACCTCCGTGGCGTAGGAGGTTCAGGGCACCTTAGAATTGGAGGCACTCGGCTTGACTCACTCTCGAGTGGGTCAGGAACGCTACCATCCCTTGCAGTGGGTCCAAGAGTAGGGGTCTGCCCTCCCTCAGGGACAGTACTGGGCTCGGCAGGCTCGGCAGTACTCACCTCCGGCAGAGGTATGGGATCGTTATCTGGGTCCGGTAGCTCGGTTGGCTGCGAGGTGGGGCGGCCAGTCGCCCACCGCTGCCTCAACTGGTCTCGCTACCATCCCTTGCAGTGGGTCCAAGAGTAGGGGTCTGCCCTCCCTCAGGGACAGTACTGGGCTCGGCAGGCTCGGCAGTACTCACCTCCGGCAGAGGTATGGGATGGTTGTCTGGGTCCGGTAGCCCGGTTGGCTGCGAGGTGGGGCGGCCAGTCGCCCACCGCTGCCTCAACTGGTCCACATGTCGCCTCCA